TGAGTGGAAAAATTTCATCTTGGAAATTAGAATAATTTGCAAACATGATAAGCATTTTATTATGATTGTTTTTCTGTACCTAGAATAGATGTCTTTCTTTCTATGAAAACTTCCATATAGAGTGTAGGTGGAAATTTAGCTTGCCATTTGTTGGTGGCAAGGGTAGGCTTTAAGCTTTTTGTACACTCAACAGATCTGAAAGCCATTAGACCCATGAACAAAAAGAAAATGGAAACAGAAGGCAAAAAACTGCTGAAGGGAAAATCCTGCTGAAAGGCCACGAAGCATTTTCAAGTGTACAGAAATGACCTGCTCCGTTCCTGTTACGCAGAAGTGTTAAAATGGGAACAGGCCACCCCTCTCCCCCAGATCATTCATCTGTTTTGTCTGCAATGTATTTAGATTGAATCTTTTCCCAGATGCTGCAGATCTGTCGGTTCAAGGGGAAATTAATGGGACTTTACCATTTGCTTTGAGGAAAAGAGGCCTGGACTTTCTCCTGCTGTCTTTGGCAGGAAGGAGTGAGGAGCTTTGCTGTCTGCTCTGTTTGAAGAATGCATCTTTTTAAGGGTTGGTTGTTTTTTTTGTGTGTGTGGTTTTTTTTTGTTGTTTTTTTTTTTTTTGCCAGATAGCCTAATTTGTGTTACTGCAATATACCATGTTGGAAAATTACAGAGGTTAATGTACAGCTCTGTGATACACAACCCTAATGGTAGACTCTAATGTTTTTTAAATGGTAAACCAAAGACATTCGTAATACGAGTTGCAGTGAATTGCCTGCAGTTCTTGCCAGAGATTAGTTTAGCATTGCTTTTAATATTTTATGCACTGAAGTTGTTTGCAAAGACTAAAAGCTTCATTCACCTTGCACACTCGTGCTTTGTTCTTTTCCTGTACAAAGCACAACAGAAGCACTCTCTTGCTGATGAACTATATGGCAGGAATTTATTAAATTCCAATTGTACTGCCTTGGAAAGATTTTACTAGTAATCAGTGAAAACTATGTCAGATTTATGGTGTCATAAGTGGGCCAGGTAGTTTGAAATCTAACCTTTTGTAATATCACTAGTTGCATATAAATATTTTTAAATATCCAAATCACATATGAATGTCACAGGAGGTTTTGGCTTTAAATGTTACTGTAGAGATCTGACGGTATATAATTCCATTAAAATGGAAGAGTACAAGATAAAACGATCCATTTGCAATTATAATTATGCATATCAAGATTGACCATTCCTTAAAAAACTGGAACTGCAAGGTGGAGAAGGGCGCTTGAGCAATCACTCTTTGTTGAAAGCATTGATGGAAGAATAAAAAAATTGATTTGTCAGTAATGTGCACGAAAGAGTATAGGAAGCATTTCCTTGGGAGGTGAAGGGAAAGTAACATTTTTGCTGTCATAGTTAGCTTTGCTTGGAGAGCCACCACTGAAACACATGATCAACCACAGAACAGCAGGTAACACTATGAACTACTTAATCTGCTTTTGACAATTGATAAAGTTTATTAGTTGATCAGCTTAGTAATGGAGAACCAACATGGCCTCATGAGTTCTCCACAGAGGAGGTGAGTTTTGTTCTAGCTCCATCAGTGGCCTGCTGTTTGACCTTGAGTAACTATTTTTTTGTCTCTGTGCCTTTTCTTCTGCTATTCCTTGATTGCCTTGTCTTGGAGTTCTTCGGCAGAGAGATTTCTTTGCATTGTGTTCCGTGAACAGTGAAGTCTGAGCCTAGCCAAAGCCTGTAGGGGCATCTCTAAATTATAATTGTTAGCTTTAGTCACTTTCATCAGAAGAGCCTGGTAGTGGAGGATGGCAATGTGCAGGATTTGAAGAGACATGTAGCGTACATGTTAATTAAGTCACTGTAGGTGAAAGTTGCTGATTTGGTTTCATAGGGCTGATGCAGAGATGCTAACACCCAGGAGTGATGCTGTGCTGCGCCATATGGGTTTTTGTTTCCAAAAGCACAATGCTGGGCACTCGCTGCTCTACTTGAACATAACCAAAAACTATATGCTTGATGCAAACAAGGCTTTTTCACAAGCTTCCTGCTTAAACCTTTTTGGGTTTTTTTTTTGGGTCACTCTGCCATGATTATTAATGGCTGAAGTTGAACTGCTTGGCTTTTTGAAGTGGAGACAGTTGCTTAAGGGTGAGCTGTCCCATCTTATTGGATCCTCCTCTCAACCTTTGCTGTTGCTGAACAGAAAGTGTTTATTGTTGCTCTCCCTAATAACAGCTTCCTTTTTTGGATGGAGGTGCAACATGACACCAATTTGCAGATTAATTGCCCTTCTGGCATCTGCTGATGCACAACAGTATGCCCTTGTCCTATTTGGGTGGATGCATTACTCACCATAGAAGGCAGTTCAGAAATATTTAGCCATATGAATGCCAGCAGTCATATTAGTACAGGTGAACTGTGTTGAACTATCTATATTATCCATTTCGAGGTAAACACTGCAGATAGATAGAACTCCAGGTGGAGCAAGGAAGAGAAGGTGATTTCCCTTCTCTGTTAGAATCTCACGTGAAACCACTTGCCAGATTGTCCAGGCATAGTGCAACTGGGGCAGAACTAGATAAGAACCGATAAATGTTTTCTGAGAAGAAGTACTGTAGGGTTTAGAGAGGAGTGGGTTAGTCAAGTGGTGAGGAAATCAGTAGAAAAATCGAAAATAATCTTCCCTTGTATATGGGGTAGGTGTTGTACTGCTGTATTACCCAGGAGCCAGAAGTAAAGCAACGTCCCTTTCTTTAGTGTGTTTATTGTATCTTTTAGGGCTAACACCAAATGGCTAGTTCCGGTAGTGCACCCATTGCCAGTGAGCACTGACTGTCTAGCAAGTATTTTCAAGACCTTTGCTGTACAAGAATCCCTGTATTGTTCCCTTCTGATTTTAATAAGAACAAGAATTCCCCAAACTATATTTGAAATCTGCATAGAAATAGCATATGGCAGAGGCCAGCTCAAGGTTATACATTTGGCATCTGGGGAGGGAAGGCAAGAAAAAAGAAAGATTTACCAGTCAGTACACTCACATTATGATAAAGGTGAATGGGGAGGAGAGCATATGCTGAATCCTAAAATGGCACAGAAGAGCCATAAACCACTATATGTTGTGCTATCTCTAGCCCTTTATACTCCAAGCAGAAGTGAAATCTGGGGTATCATAAATGAAACAAAGATCTTGATTTAATTTCATTTAAAAAGCCATTGCAAGGTAATGGGGTAACAAACATTAACTTCTTCAGACTAGGCAAACCACAGTTTCTGTGCTCTATATTGCTGCCGTCAGATCACAGTTATTCTCCAAAAGCTTCTTGGAGGAAGGTAGATTAGTCTAAACAAATGGCATTTTTCCTAGAAATAAAGTATATGGATGCCCTCATGAGGTGTTGCCTGGTCTGCTCTGCACTTGTAAAAATGTTTTTTTCTACTGAAACTGTGTATATTTGATCAAAATCCAAGGCTGAAAGCCGTTAACATCTGGCGACTTTTTCATTTGTACAGTGAGAAATAATAGCTGGTACAGAGGCAATTCTGCTGACAGGCAACCTGGAATAGGTCTCTTTTTCTTCCAGAGCATCCATACTTGCCTATTACAGAGAAATCACTCAAAAAGCACCATGTGTGCTGGACTCTCAAGCCTTGTTTTAAGTTTTAATTTACTCGTCTGACTTCCAAGGTTACTGAATGCAAGTGATTGCTCCTTTAGTACATAAATAAGATGAATTATGTGTTTGGGACCAATGCCTCAGCCTCCTTCTTTTCGTACTCTAAAGGGAGTATGTGCCAAGGAGTGCACAGAGGCTGGGGTAAAACTTTCCTTTTTTGCCATCAAAGATTGAAGTAGGACCATTATGGATCAGCTGAGCTGTGAAACCAGAGCCCTAGGACCACTTTTTGGCTCTGCAAAGTTTTTAAGTTATAGGATGGTCCAGGGATGCTATGGAACCATAGCAGTATTGGGAAACTGTGCTGCAGCCCCAGCTGGGAAAGGCCTAGGGAGAAGCTCACTGCTGCAAGTGAAGCAACTGTCCCCAGTTTAACACTGAATCCTATTTTAATCAGGCTTTATAATTTTTTATTTTAATACAGTTCTTCCAAATGAAATGACCTGTGTTCTCCCCTGTAGGCTGCAGAAAATAATCTGGGTTTATAATTAATCTTCAGAGCAAAATTTAGGCAGGAGGACTCATTGCTATTTCCTTTGAATTTTATTTTTTTAAATTCTGATTTCTAAATGTTTAATTGGGGTGGCCCATGGCTCCAAAGTCCTGTGCCACCCAGCTTCACTCAGACAAAACTGATTCCCACCAAAACTCTATCTACCTGTAGAAACCCCAACTGTGAGGAGCAATTTTTTATGTGTAATTAATCCTAAGAAAACCAGCAATTCCAGGAAGTAGACCAATATCTATGCATTTCATGTTTTTTCCAATTACATTTAGCATCTAACACTAAAGTTAGAAGAAAATACTGAAGATGTAAGGGGACGGAGGAAATTTAAGGTGTAAGTGCTGAGGAATAGGAATTAACAACCTTACATTCTTTTCAAAGTAGGTGTTTCTTTATTATTCTGGTGCAGCAACCTCTAAAATCTCTGGTAAATCCTCTAGTATAACAGTCGTTTTTCCAGATCACATCAGAGTCTCTTATGGTGAAGAAGATACTCATGTACCTTCACATTTGTTTGATAACTACTTGTATCTCTAAGGTAAGTTTTTTTTATAGTTGGCAGTGATAGCTTCCACTGATTTTTCATCCAGCCATTGTTAGCTATGTGCTAGTTCAGTCTTCCCATACAGAGATGTGTTTCATAGAGATTAAAAATTCTTACAGGCTTTTAAAACTCGGATCTGTTGAGCAAAACCATTTTTTCATTGCTGTATCCTCAAATGCATGTATAGCAGAAAGTTCATGAGTGCCTAGAAGTCCTCAGGGGCAAGTGTAAATGTTTTTTAATTTTTTTCTTTTTATCTTTGTTTCCAGAAATGCTGAATTCAGTACTCTGCAAAAAATAGCGTGTGGATTTTTAGCACCTGAAGAACAAGAAAAGGTAATTACTGGACCATATAGTCTAGCCTCATTTCTTAGCTATGCTAAAATATTAAACTGCTAAACCTGCTGACACTGTGTGAGCCTACAGCACCATCTCTGCGTATGAGTGTGTATTTTCAGTTACTCAGGCATGGTTGTTTTTGAGAATATTCCTTCATGGAAAAGGGAGCAGGGGAACAAAAGCAGCAGAACATAAAAATGATGGAGCAAAATGTTAGGGAATAACACACTGTGAGTTTTTGCAGTGCATGTGGAAGTGAAAAAGGTGAAGGAGGGGAAAAAAGAAAATCAAGGTTTATATGTGCCAATGGAAAAAGCTATGGACTTCCCTACATTTGCAAAATGGCTTAGCACTTCCTTGCAGCAGGTGGTCAAGTACTGAATGAAGTTCAGTGTTTATCAGTGCTGCAGCAGCCTCCTCATGTTTCAGTTCCATAGTAGCTTGTTGGTTAGTGCACCCTGCCTCAGAGGTCATGAGCTCCTCTGCTGCCTGCGAGCCTGCTCCTTGCAATCAAGTTTCTTGATCCTCTTGGGTCATGACATTTTGCTTGGGCAATGCAGCTCAACAGGGCTGTGGCTCAGTTGCTGGTGTTAAACAAAATGCTGTTCATCAAACTTTCATGAGCCACATTGCCAGGGGCTGCATCTTGAAAGACTAGGCTCCAAAAAGCAGCAATGAAAGCAAGCAGTGCTGCTCTGTACTGCTCCCGTCTCCTGTATTTTTTTCCGCCTTTTTTCCAAGGCTGAGAGGCGAGCACCCCTGTGGGAGAACCTTCTGTGGTTTTGCACTTTTCTTCTTATGGAAACAATGTAGAATTTAGGAGGGCATGGTCATGTTGAAGGCTGGCAGTCCTGCTTCAGCTGGTACATCCTTCCAGCTATATGGTGATCCAGAAGAGGGATCAGGACCCCACATCTGCCTTAAAGGCTGTGTGGCTTCATTATTACTCTGGATAACCTAGAGGAACCTACATGAGCTGAGCCTTTCAGTTGTTTTTTTTTGTAATATTTAATATAATAACTTCAAAGTGAGAAAAGATGTATATGGATGTCGCAGTATGGACTATGGAAGGAAATATATAATGTGAAGGGCTGTACATTTGAGTATAGCAAAGCAAGCATAGTGAGATTTAAAACACAGATGTAAAAGATACAGGTAGGGGATGTTGCAGGGGTCAGGAAAGCTTTTGTGTGACCATGTAACATGTTCTTACAAGACAGTCTGTTTCGTTGATTGGGATTGAAAAATGCATGTGAGTGACATCTTCTGTTCTCTGCATCTGCGGTGCCATACTGCCGATGATTAGCATGTGCATTTTAGAGGCAGTATGTAAACCCAAGATGATAAATGCAAACAAATCATCGGGTAGACCAGTGCTGCCTTCTTCATGTATCAGCATTAAAATTTGCTGTAAGCCCGTCTTCCCACCCCATAAATGGAAGTTCCACCTCAGTTCTCGGGAGGGATGTGGAAATACACTGAGAGGGCTTAAATTTGCAACTTGCTTTGATTCTTCTGTATTTTTATTTTTTGTGGTGGACTGTGCATGTATCAGTTTAATGCGAAATTATGATAGGAGAGGAAAATTAGCAGATAGAGGGAGAAGTTCTAGGAGCAAATAAATATTTGATCAAAATGCCTTTTTAGAGGACCACACTCAGTTGCAGTTTGGGCTCACAGTGTTTTGAATTACCTTCCCTTTGTACTAACAAATGGGATTCATTTTGTTGAATTTATGGTATCATTTAATACTCTGTAAAGCCTTGTGTCACCATCACCATCTCATCTCTACCCTGGGACTCTCATGTTTGGGCACTTAACATGTATGGGAGATGTAGGATAACTTTACTAGGGAGTCAAATATTGCTTTGAGTATAAGTTCTGTTGGTCATTTCAATAAGATTGAAAAATCCGATTTCTTAAAAATCATGAATTTCCCAAGGTGAATAACAGAAGTTGGTTTCCCCCTCAGCATCCTGGAGATTACAGTATGATGAAATGTGCTGGCAAAGAGACACTGTGCTGCAATATTGAGTTTCATTGGTATTTCACTGCTCTATATAAGAGGGTGAAATAGTAGTCTCAGTTACCTGTGCAATTTAAAATTATCTCAATGAATCCAACTGTGTTTATTTATGCTTTTGGTACACTTCTAAGGAGATTTAAAAAAAAAAAATAAATCAGTATTTCTTTTTTAAGTAAGAAAGTAAAAGTACCTCCGGATTTATCATGGCTAAGTGCTTTCCAAGGACTTGAAACGAAACTACCCACACTTTAATGCAATGTGGTTCAAACAGGGGAATTATTCCCACTGGGTTTCTTAAAACCTACAGACATTGCTCTAAAGTTTAAGCATACACAGTATTGTAAGAATTTAAGGGTATGTATGTAGCAAAAAATGGCCACTCGTTATTTTTGATTAATATGTCATATTTATCAGCTTTTCCTGTTCTCTGAGGTCAAGGGGTTGCATGCAACTTTTTTTCAGCCTGTGAAAGAGATCCCAAAGAGTAATTTAGCTCTGTTGACTGTAATTCCTCTGGACTTCAGCGGCATCCTTTCATGTGGTACTGCACGGTACTAGGTTGCAATGGCTGGGCTGGGAATGTATCAGATGTATTTCATTGTATTGAAGAGACGCTAGCTGGTCTGCACACATGCTATCCCCTTGAAAAGGCTTTGCCCCACCTTATGGGAGAAGTGACCTTGATGGAGGTATTCACCCCCATGAAGTAGGGGTTTTCTGCAGGTGGAGTGGATTTCATGCTGTGCTGCTGTTAGCATCAGTAAATCGGGTCCAAGCTTCAGAAACCGAGACTGCGCTTTTATTACCTGCATGGCCAGGCCAAAGTGAGATATCCCAAGGCTCAAGGGCACAAGAAGCACTCTCTTCTTTTGTTCTTGGTATCTTTGGTGTTTTGTTTTTTTTTTTTTTTTAAACTGGCTGGCCATGACATTAAGATTTCTAATTAATTTAGAAACCACAGGCAGTTGAAGAGAGTGAGCAATGTAATAACAGGGCCATGGGGCAGAGTAAAAGCACATCAATTATTCAGGCAGTCGCTGCTGCTTATTCCCTTCCCGGAGCTGGACTGGCTGTCAGTGTGTGTCAGTGATGCCGCTAATGCCCTTCAGAATTTACATGCATAAACAGTGGCCTTTAAAATCTGCATAAGGATAACTTCAGCATTTCCAATGATAGCTGCAAGCAGCATGCTCTGTCTAGCAAGTGCTGGGGGCTCCAGTCGGTATTTCGGGTACCTAGTTCAAAACCAGGATCTTGTCAGGTGTGTCCACTGGAAGCCTTTGCCACAAAGATTTGCTCCTCAAAGAAGTTGAGGGGCTGTCTGAGCCATGGGAAGAAAGAAGCAGTCCTGCTTTAAAATGCAGACAGTGTCTGAGAGTGTTCTCTCTTGGTGAGTGAAGGCCAGCATCTCTTATAGCGCATCATCCCCTCCTGCTATTTCTGTGATGACCCGAAGCAAGGATGCCACAGATGAAATTGGGGCTGGACCCTCTGCAGGGATGAGGGGCAGGAAGCTTCCTTTTCCTCCTTGTTGCTGTGGCTTTTTCATATCCTGTGATTTGGCTTAGCAGTGGGAAAGTTTGAAAATGAGGAAGCTTTTCTCACTGTGAAAAATTAAGATTCATGGGACTGCAGAGATCATCTTACATGGTGCGTTGCAAAAACTTATGTTACAGATGTCACAGCAAGCAACACTGATTTCTGCATTGAATCAGCAAGGGGTCTGAAAACTGGGAAACCTGTTGGATTTTTCTGCCATGGATGACAAGCAGAGCATGAAGCCTTATTTTTGTGGCTGGCTGGTGTGCTTATCCCTGCTGCTGGAGGCAGCCACATTGCTTTTTAAAAAGTGAACTAATTTGTGAAGGTGGCAAAATAAAACGAGCCTCACTAATTATGTGTTGTGCTGGCAAAATGACCAGCTTTAGTTCGGAAAATGCTGCTTGTAATTAATGGTGAAAGGCTTTCTTCTCTGATCTGTGTAGCCGTTTATGAATCGCTTCTCCCCACGGAAACTTTTAAATCTGTCTCACCGGAGAGGAGGAACAGGTAAAATAGATTTGCTTTAATAGCTGTGGTTGTAACTTAAACACTTGAAGTGATATTAAGCATTTTTCTCCATTAGCATTTCATGTTGATCCTGATGATATACCAGCCAAGGCTAAGACAGGATCAGGGTTCATTAAGTGGAAGAAACTAAACTCTGTAGACAAATGCTTTGGCTAAATGGGGCCTTCAATGCACTGAGAACAAGAATGCAATTAGCTGAAATGTTTGTTTACAAAATCTAATTCCTGGGGAGTATCTTCTCAGATTGGCGCTTACATCTCTTGAGCTGTTTTTGTTGCCAAGGCTTGCAGCTTGATGGATTTTGCAAAGCTCAGTTATAGCATGTATATATTGAATGGGTCGAACTTTGCATGGTAAAGCTGAACTCAGCTGAAGACCAGGGGCTAAGCTACAGATGTGTCAGTTTATTTGTGCATTTTCCCATGTATTTTATAGTTTACAGTTTAATAATAATTATTAGATGTTCCAGATATTAAACAGGGTAGGTTGAAGAGAAGCTGGAAATTGTATAGATCTGAGTGTTGCCATTGCTATTCTCCTGTACTCCACCTGCAGCCTAAAGCAGGGAAGTCACAAATGGGTCCCAGCTGGTGAGGATGCATCTCTCCGCAGGTATCTGCAGGAAGAGCCTTGTTCTTCTGGTTGGTTGAGTAACGTGGACACACTCAGAAGGTGATTTTGCCCATCCGTGATACAAGTCGTGCTATGAAAATGATGCTTCTTCTTGGGCTGCAGAAGAAGCCAACAGGAAACATAAAGGCTGCAATCCAAATATTAGGGTCAGGTTTTTTTTTGAGGTGGCTATTTTATTTTTGTGTGTGTGTGTGTGTATTTTTTATTGTTGGGTTGTGTTTGTTTAAATTAAGACCAGTAACATGGTTGAGGCCTTACATTTATGTGA